GGAGAAAAGGTTTGCAATATTATGTTAATGTGCTTCGTACTTACATTTTGTCTTCTTCGTGACAATAAGAGCTGCAGAGCTGGGATTGACGTCACCAGCAGGTGGAACTCACAGCATTGTTATATTGTGGGTGACGTCACGGCAATTATTCTCCCACAGTTCCCTGCGTAGTTTTCCCGCCTTGGCTACTAAGTAACAGTCTCTGGGGGAAACGCATCTCGTGAGTGTTCAGCATAAAAACATTGTGTGTGTGCACCATAGTAATTTATCCCCTAATTTCTTACGGCATAACGTTCCTTGAAAGTCATAGTAAGGGCAACATAAAGACCTCTTCTGTTGACATCCATCCTGGCACTGTTATTTTTTTCGGTTTGCGACGTACACGATCTATTGTAGCGAGCGCTCCAGCTGCTGGGAGGAGCTTGACTGCCAGTCGCACGTGTGTCTGCCGGAAACACCCGGATATTTCCACTCAGTCCGGACTGTGCTGCGTATGAACAGTAGGGACAATTATTTTCTAATTGTGTGTGTGTGCACTCAGAAAGCCATGAGTCCAAGGGGTTCACTTTAAGCCAAGACCCTGACCAGGCCTGCCCTGTGTATACTGTCCAAGACACTGAAGATATGAAAGGGTCCGTCTCTTCCAGGAGGACGCTGGCCTTGACTTCCATCTTGGGGAGGTTGTGGAAAAGCAGTAAGATCTGATATTCGCACCCAGACACGCAGCGGAGCATTTGAGTCGGGTGCCTTTCTAGAGAAATAGCTGAGCTGATAGAGCTTTCGCGCCTAACAGCCACGTTCCTGCAGGTATCGGGGGGGGTCTTTTGCATGTGGGAAAAAAAAACGTGCGAGATAACAAGCATCTCCAGTATTGCTTTACCCATCCTCTGCAGGCTGAATTCAGCTCCGAGGATATTATATTAAAAATTCAGCACCTCAGCTGCTGGGCTAAAGGCTGGCTAGAAGGTGGCTTAATTCGATATTCGATCGTTAACGGTGCTAAGGTTTGTGTCTGTTCCGACTCTGTCTTTGCAATTAGTCCTGATGAAAGAGTGTCTGGGCACCCAGGCTATGTCTAACGCCACCCCAGCCCTAACACTGAGCCACACTACTCCTACTGCTGCTTTCACCCTGCTATGCTACACCAGAAGGCAGGCAAAAAAAAACAACATCTCAGCACGTATCAGAGGGTTGGACATGTGTTTTGCAGAGAAGTGGAGGGCTGTTGAATGACCTTTCCCAGTTCCGTCCTCAGGAGAAATCCCAGGGGATTTGCAACACCTGTTCAAGGCTCACTGGGATACAGAGGGGGAAGAGCACGTTCCATCTAGGCAGTGGTTTTCTATGTTATCAGACTATATGTTTCTGCAGTCTTAACACAGGTCAAACACTTGGATAAATGCCATCCCTGACTGTTACTGTAAATGTTCCTATATGATACAAAAAGAAGGTGGCACACTGGAAATATTGCTGGCTGACAGCACTGGGGAACTGAGTTTTTGACCTGGGGTGCTGTCTGTGTGGAGTTTGTATGTTCACGTACAGTAGGTTTCCTCTGTGTGCTCTGGTTGCCTTCCACGGTCCAAAGATGTACTAGTGTCTTACTTAGCTTCTGGGAATTGATCCTGACATGAGTGTGCCTATCTGTGCCTTGTAATGGTCTGGTATCACGTCCAGGGTGTACTCCGCCTTGCGCCCGATGCTTTCTGGGGTTGGGAAAATTGGGGGTTTGATCGTAGCTATTAAGCTGCTGACATCTCTGAATGAAAGCTGTTTTCCGTGTTTATGTTTGTGGTGTTTCCTTAATGTCCTTGTATTGGAACGCACATGCAAACAAGCAGTTCATTGCACTTGTGCAAAAGACAATAAACTGAACTGAGACTGAGACTAGAAGATCGGAAGAAACTGTACGTGGTCTTCAGAAGCACTGGAGTACGGATCCTCCTGCTGACACTGCACAGTGACAAGCAGGAGCTATAAATCGAGCATTGTTTTATTTTCCAGGGGACATTCTGAAACATCTCTCTCTCTCCCTCTCTCTGAAATCCCCATTTTTGGTGTGGAATTTAATAAAAAAATACAAAAAGAACAGAATACTGGTAGACATACATTCCATTTGAAAGCTGAACTTTTTTAAAGGAGTCAAAACAACTGAGGAGCAGGCCTTTTAAAAAGGAATTGATAGAACAAGCACATTCTGACATAAAGGACAAGCGTATCTGGAAATTACAGACGCAATGTTAGGAGATTAGGAGGGCTGTTATTTTCTCTTCTCTCTCTCTCTCTCTCTGATGGAGCTACTATTTTACTTCAATTGCCCAATTTCAATATGAGATTGAGCGCTCTTTTCAAAAAGCCAATAATTGCTCGTTACATTTTATGCAAGTTTGCATGGCAGAAAATTAAAATAAAAACGCTCTGGGGGGGGTAGAAGGCGCATGTTGGTAAAACATGATAATCACACAGAGAGGAGAACTAACTGCAGTGACCTAGATAAAGCTGGATTCTTGAAATACTCTTCGGAAGATGAGAAGTAAGAGAAAGGTTACTGGGGCACAACAAGCAGGGGAAAGCGTTCAAGTAAAACACCATGTTCATCGGCCGGGCCCTGGTGAGATGAGCCGGCTCGTTAATAAAATAAGGGGTTAATTCAGCGGAACCTAGCCCGCTGGCCAGACCGTGCGTGGTGCATGCTGGGAGCTGGGGGGCGGCCCGCACCGCGAGCGCCGATGACCCAGCAGGCCCAGGAGACGGCGGGGGGAGGGGTGGGGGGGGCATCACAGTTTATGGGTTCCAGGTTCGATTGTGAACTCGGGCACCTGTCCTTGTGGAGCCTGCATGTTCTCCTCATGCCTGTGCGTGGAGGGTTTGTTCTCACAGTACCGCGAACATGCTGCCCAGGTTAATGGGTCCCTCCAAATTTCCACACCCCAGTGTGAGCATGTGGGTAAGTGTGTGTGTGTGTGCTTGCCCTGTCCCACCCAGGCTGCTGTCCCTGTGATAACACAGTCATTGAAAATGGATGGCACTCACTACCAGAGTTTTTTTTTTTATGTAGCAGGTCCCTGGACATTGGCTTCCTCCGTCTAACGGCGCCATTAGAAACTGCCTTTTGCCTTTTGCAGTTCTCGGAGAAGCGAGCAGCAGATGTCGCATAACCATTTGGGTAAAAGGCTACTTTCAGATCGTACTCCAAGGAGCGGGCACCACAGAGTCTTAAAGCTGAGCCTTTCTAGTTGACTGTCAGGTTCTAAAGGAGACAGGACTGAGTACGACTCATGAAGAGAACCCAACTGGATTTTCTCTCCCCTTCCTAAACTTTCTCCCATGGCTAGCTGTCACTCCGGTACTTCCCGGAGCGACAGGCAGCCTTCTTATCACCCTGTGCATCCTGGGAGGATCTTGGTCAGCACGCATGTATAGAGGCATCCGTTTAGAAAATGGCTTTTGCAACCCTGCTGAGCCATTTAGTACACTGTAGGCCTCCCCCTGTTAGGGCCGAGAGCCCCCCACTGCATTATCTCTGCTGTATTACCCCACAGCTCTTGGTAACCGTGTGTTTTCTCAACAAGTCTCTTCAGGGAACTGGCTGCCATATTCCCCTCTCCGCCATCTAAGGACAACCCTGTCTTCTGGAGTTCCCACTCCCTCAGGATGACTGGAAACAAGGAGTTCTTACAGCAGCTTCCTCTAAGTTTTTTTTTTACTAAGACACATTAGTCACCAGCAACCCTGAAAAACAGGGAAAGCACCTGGATGTAAAGAGCAAAGTATAGCTCTCAGAATACCACTAGAAACTTTCTGATCCCATGGTGGGTCCTGTCCAGTTAGTTTACTGTCGGTTTCCCTTCATTTCTGCTCGGATCGGAAGGCTGGGCTGGCGGCAAGTACTACGCAGGGAGCGCATCGCCGAAGAGCCGCGTTAAACGAGGCGATGCGGTTTCAGAGCTAATATAGCAGCACAGGTGGACAAGAAGGACAAGGTGCCAACCTTTCCTAAACTGGCACAAAGCAGGGGGCAACGTGGAGTTTGCCACCGACAGCCTGCTCCTCCGGGTGCCAGCCTGCGCAACTCTGCAAGGCCTGGCCCGCCTGCTCTCACCGCGCAAGCAGGAGAAGCCCCACTTGGTCAATTATTCAGAGAGACTCCCGTCCGAGCTGACACATCCTCCTCGAGATCCAATTAAAACGGGAAAGGCAACACAGAGTGCGGATTTCACCAACGGTTGTAAAACCTTAACACCACTCAGCGCGGCTCACTCTCTCCCAGACTGCCAACCATCTGTCACACGGCACCCAGTGCCAAGATCCAGTGTCACTCTGACACAGGAAAGACGCGTGCTAAAGCATCTGGTGGCTCCTGTGTTTCAGGGTTGTCCCGATTAAAGCGGCCAACCTGCACAGTCCAGGGCCTCAGGCAGCGACTGCCCAAGCTGGGTGCCATCCTCTGGAGTCTGATCACCTTTCCAGCTCAACCAACACGAGCAGGTAGTGAGCATACAGGCACCAGGGGCCGATTTCCAAGGCACATTACTCCAGAGACGCATCAGAGTCTCCCAAAGGCATTTTTAAAGGAAGCAAAAAATGAGCTTTAAAGGGAATCAAAGGAAAACAGAAATGCTGTCCTTTCACCGCTCAGAAATTCAGGGGAGTTTGAAAAAAGGTTTTCTGAAGTCGTTCAGCTTTGAAAACTGTCCCATAAACGCCTTAAACTTTGAGCGTGAACTACAAAGCCTTAAATATCTTACAGACAAATTTCCACTTCTGTGATTCTGGTCTCCATTCCTCTGATCCCCGCAGCTTTTTTTAAAGAGGAGGAGCTGTGAATTGCCAAGTGCCGGAGAGCAGAGTCAGTGACAGCTTGGCTGCTGTGGGATCATACAGGCATTTTCATACTGTATGTCCTCATCATGCAGGAGGGAAACCCCAGCACATGGACAGCCAGTGCACAGCTGGGGCACCTGGGCCAGAAGAAAAAGCAGCCTGGAGGAGCGACTCACCCCTTTCATCTGCTGGGCTCCGCTGACCAGCTGCAGGACTCTGTCGATCTCTTGCTCGATGCGTCCTGCCCAGTGCATCATTCTGGAGAGAGAGAGAGGAGAGGGACAAAGCTTTTAACGTCCAGAACAGCAGCAGAGTGAGACCTAAGCACAGTGCTCTTTTGAGTTAATAACTTCCCCTCCACCTCCTGTTCTATTCGAGGAAAGAGGGACAGTGAGGAAGCAGTACTTGTGCTTTAGGCTGTTGATCCAATGCAAGTCTTATGGTTTGTGGTCTTTCATGACATAATGCTGAGTCACCATTCAAATCTCTTAAACGCACACCTGCCTTGTTAAATGAACCCCTCAGTCAATCGCTTTTATCGGGTCCTTTCACCATGGCTGCTCTCTCGTGGCTCTTACAATGACTCCTGACAACAGGCCGTGGACAAGCCACAGCAGAGGACTTACGATTCGGTCAAATCAGCAACATTTATACTTCTTACAAATTAAAAAAAAACAACAACAAATGACAACATGCCAATTTGTCGCAGAAAATACAGCTCACAAAGGGCTTTGGATGCCGCACGTTCGCTGGAAGTACTTCTGTACCCAAAGGGTGGCAGGGGTATGGAACAAGTGAACAAGCTGGTTGGGCTTGCTGTGGCAGTCGATACCCCTCAGGAGAGGGCTGGGTGAGATGCCCCGATCCGGACAGCAGGCGTTTCTTTACACAGAGTCTGGAACAAGTGAGCCCGCCATGTGGCTGAAGCAGATACCCTGGCTTCTCTCACGCGGCCACCAAATGAGATGCTCAGATCAATTAACGGCGAACAATGGGCTAGACGGGCCGAAAGACGCAGCAGCTCGCCAGGAAGATAAATAAATTGGCAGTTCCGACAGAGAGTGCGAAATGGCAAAGAGCCACGAGCCGGCTCTCTTGCTGATTACCGAGACCCTCCGTGGTCAGACTGAGGGAGCCGCAGAGGCACAGCAGCCACAGCCACAGGAACGGAAGAGAAGGGGGATTGGAAATCTACAACCCAGAGCGACGGAGGCTGACAATTTCACCCTATCTGACCGGTGAGGACAGATTAACGAGTTCTGTGTTCCTGTGGGTCTTCGCCACATTCTTGAGAAACCGTTACAATGTAGGATCGTTCTCTTTTTCACTTTTTAATAGGGCACTCGTTTTCCTTCCATTTGAGTTGGAAGAATATCTCTGTGTCGCGTTGCCATTTTTAATTGTGGAGGTTTTGCATGAATAAGTGGACCCTCTATCCCTTTCTTTTTCAGCATTGCTCGGGAGCTACAGTATCTCGCACCAAAGTAAATGATGTCAGACAGGCCTGAGAATTTTCTTTATATAAAAAAAGAAGCCCCTAGTTGAAAATCGGCTTATTTCTCTAACACTGTACCTGTTAGTACAAGACTAAATGATTTTTAATAAAGCTGTTTTTAGAAAAGCTAAATGATTTAGAGCAAAGGTCTCCAGCACTGATCCTGGTTTATCCCACATGTCACCCCAAATCACCTATTTATTGAAGAATAAGACAACATGCAGGTTATCTACTAAGCATTTAAATTGTTCAGCTACAGGAACTTTGGTCTTTAAGGGTCAGAGGGTGTCCTGCTTTTTAGTGTTAAATAATTACTGAACTACTTTTAAAATCCACCTGTTAAAAGGATCACATTAAATTAAATTGTTCCAGGTCTTTAGAGACTGCTAGTCTAATTTAATGGCCATCTATAACACCAGCTGGGTGGGGGCTCTGCTGGTCCAGGGTTCGAGACCCCTGATCTCCGGCAGAAATGTCTGCCAGGCTCTGCCGAGGTGAAACACACAACCTGGCAGTCTCTCATCTCCAGAGATCTGGGTTTAATCCAACCTAAACCACATGCCAAACAACCGCATAACCAGACACAAAGCTGGGACCTTCAGCAGCATTCCTGCAGAATTCTGTACATAATCTCAATCGGAATAGCTAAAGCAGCCACAACCACTGTTGCGGGAAAGAGAGGGGGAACTGGCCCTAAGCGAACCAGTATATACCAGTATATGGGTATAAATGGGGTGTGGACATATAAATAGAGGGACTTCCGGTAACAATGTACCTCCAACATTTTCCTACAGGAGACTCGCGTTTCTCAGCGTCTGAAGCCCCAGCAGTGCCACATGTTCCTTCAGGGCCGTTAATTGAGAGACCTGGGCCTCCAGTCTGTGGGAGCCTCCTGCACAGCGCCTACTCACACCCCCCAGCAGCAACAATGCAGCTGGACTGCGCACCTGTCTGCTCTATTGTGACAACATTGTATCCTCCCTCTAATCGTTTCTCTAGCTCTCTTGAAAGAGCCAAGACTGTTGCACAGCATGCAGGCCGACATGCATAATTTAGAGGGCTGTTACATAAGCTCTTCCCCGTGCAATCAATCCCTACTTTTAGGACAAACACAGAGCAGCTGTGTTTGAGGTGAGGGCCCACAAGCACCGTTGAGAGCCTACACAACTGTCCACCCTTCCTCCATCTAACCGCAGGAGCCTATCCCAGCAAGCAACGGACGCAAGGCAGACAGGACACAGTCCATCACAGGGCACACACACAGGCACAAACACGCACACACTCACACCAGGGCCAGTTTCCCCAGAAGCCAGGTAACCCACCAGCCGGTCTTTGGACTGGGGGAAGACACCAGAGCACGCGGAGGAAAGCCACACCAACACGGAGAACCCCGGCCTTTAAGAGACTGAGAGACCCTGCAGACCCGCTGGCCTGCCGGGGCCAGAGGTGTGCCCCTCTAGGCTGTAGGATTATATAAGTGCATGCAGTACGATTCATTTCTATTCTTTAAACCCACCCTCCACCACAGTACTGTGTAAGTGCATGCTTTTCCCACCTCAGGCTGTTCGCACCACAAGCAGCACGGCGAGCCACAGCAACAGTCAGCGTTTGAGCAAACACAGCACTTCTGTGCTAAAGATCCATGAGACAGTCCCCTGAGGGGCTCCTGGCAGGTCTCATTAATCATTCAATTTTTGCTCTCTGATGGACCAAGTAGCTTTTTATAGGCTTGGAGATATTCAGACCCCCAGTCTCAACCACAGGGACCGCCTGCTCACCCAACCCTGGAACAAGCCAGCCTCAGCACCTCGGTGCAGAAGATTAACTGCAAAAGAAACCGAAGCCGGGGAAATGTGCTAACAACCCCAGTTTTCTTTCCATAAAAATATCGGTATCTACTGTACCTCCGAATGAGCATCCCGTGTAAATATTTTGGTTCGAGTGCCGAAACATTAAGATGTCAATTACTTAAAAAAAGCTTCTAACACTGCAATGAAAGCAAGCCACCTCTGACTGTTATGTTGTTGCGAAACAAATATTTCGCTTGACTTTTTCAAGCTGGGATAACGGCATGGAGTCCCGGCGTTTCCCAACACTCAGGCACACAGAGGCACTTTTTGATGGGAGGTAAAGCATACTTCGCAAAACCCCATGGCATCCTGTTGCAATGCAGCCCCTCCGCTCCGACATGGGGGCCAGAGGATGTACTGGCAGCTCCAGGGCTTTCGGAAGCCGTGTGTGGCGTTTGAGAGCCCCTCGGAGCTGTACAACTGTGCGCCGACCTGAGGAGCAGCCCCTGTCTGTTTCCCAGCCGATTCAGAGGCATCAATTATTCAAACCCAGCCACAGTGCTACATGATTAAGGCAATGCAGTAACTTGGACCCAGATTATGCTGGTAATTTGAGGCTTGCAGGCATTACACCCATTGTTCCTTTATTTATGTTGCATTAACTTCGCTCAGCAGGCCTCAGCGACGAGAGGTTTACTGCTTGCGTTTCAGCACTATTTCCTCACGGCACCCTCTCAGCAGTCAGAGGCCACCTGGGGAGCCAGATCGCCGATCCTGGGCGGCGAGGAACAGCAGTGTGCTCTGAGGGCCCCGATCTGTGCTGGGCGAATGAAACAAGCACAGTGAAACTTGACCACACCACAGGGTGGTTCAGTAGCCGGCTGGTGAGTGGTACATTTCAGCCATTTCCCTGTGAATCAACGATAGGATCCCGACAGCCTCAAGGAAACAGGCCCAGATGGATCTATCTGCCAACTTATCACACCATCGTAAGAAAAAAATGTATTTTGATATAATTAGTTTTAAGCTGGTTGGAGGGATTCTACAGTGCTGAAGTGCAGAATAAATGTGGGCACTGACACTCCACCTGAACAATAACAAGCACCTAAATTGGTAAGACTGCAACAGTCAGACAAGTCAAAGAGGCTTGTTCTCTGTCACAACAATGCCTTTGGGCCACCCGGCATGCCAGGTGTAACTCTAACATCACGGGAAGCCAGTGCAGCAAAGCCATGTCAGGAGTTACTTTAATGGACCACCCCGTTTCCTTCTCAAGTAGGGTGTAACCAGTGAAGCAATTTGTCGCCTTTGAAAGAAAAACAAATTATAGGAAGAATAGGGTGTGATAAATCCTACAGAGGCACTGGTGATACCTGGCGGAGTCTGGACGTTCTCAGTGCTACACGGCAGAAATGCAAGAACTACAGCTGAACAAAGGCGACAAAATAGACGTCCGTGACAGAGGTGGGGTGATACCTCACTCTGAGCACACCCGAGTACTGGCTGTCTCCTAGTAAACAAAACCACACTCAGAAATGACTGCTCCTCTAAACAAGATGCATTTTGCTTAACAATCGTGGATTATTATTCAGCGTTTTACTCCTGCTCCAGTGGCAGAAAAAACAGCGCAGTGGTGCACGGTGATATTCCTCTCGGCAAGCGACGCACTCCTGTATCGTCACAGCTATTAACGAGCTTGCAAAAGGTCCCGTTTCCCCCCTTTTCTCAAACAATTAAATGCACAATTTTGTTTGTGTCTCATATCAATTTCCTCAAATAGCAGCGTTTTCTGTTTAGCCTTTCAAAACACCAGAGAGTTCAGCAGGGCCAGTGGAGCAATCTCATTAAAGAGACTCTTCAGCGGCGTGTGTTCTGAGCAGTTCGCACAAACAATGCCACAAAATGCTTCAGCGTTTTTCGAGTGTTTTACAGCATTTAGTACTAGATTATTTTTAAACAGGGTAGCAGGTGAC